TAAAATTATTCTCCAAACGTTAGACTGAAAAGGGAAAACCAGAGGGAAGCCAAAGTCGGCTAGTCTTGTGTGGTTATTTTCAGTTCATTATCGCAACTTATGTATCAAAAATAAAACTAGCCAGTAAAACACGTGTGCGAACACACACTGGGATGATACAAACATACTTTAGGTTCTTTACAAAGCTTATCCCATGCAAACTGTTAAAAACATTATCATGTCACCGCAAGTAACAGAAAAAAGGAAATTCTTATCCATGCAAAATACGCAAGTGCATACGTGGGCATAAACAAAATCAACAAACGCCCATCGTGTCGTCAAAAGATGGCCCCTACGAATTAGGAATGTGCATATACCAAACTATATGGATAAATTCATTAATTTCTGATATGTTAGTCTTCACATTTCTTTCACCAATCAGAAAAAATTCTGCCAGGTCAAATTGATGCTGAAGTAAACCAACAAGACAGCCAATCAAAATGAAAATGAAAATTAAAATAAAAAAAAAAAAAAAAACAAATCCATTAGCACAAGATGGACAGAAAGAAATAAAACATCTGATTATACAATGATATAAGACTTTGTTTGACTTCGAAGTCCTAATCACAGTTCCTGAGTGCTAAAGAAAAAACACATAAATTATCCATTTATCAGTGTGTTTCGTAACCTTTTTCATGTCTCACTTGCTCATTTAAAATTCATGCACCTCCAAATATAAGACATAGTCTCTAATTGGACAGGTCAAAGGACAGTTTGAACCTTAGATTCTTCATCCAAACCAAGCACCATCGTAAGAATTTTTTGACGAATTTTACAGCGCTTGATAGTCATGGTTCACCACCTCAAAAAGATATGATCTTTTTCAGACTAACAAAAAAAGTACTCAGTTTTCTTGAAAAAAAATAATATTTAACATCGCTTATTTGGTGGGGCTGAAGGCAATGAACTTATTTTCTTGTCAAAGGCTTGTGTAGATGCAAAAGGGTGAATTTGCCAAAAAAGGAACTGACTAGAACAGACATTGTTTTCTCTATGGACATTACAAGCAGAAACAGACTAAAACTTGTCATAGGACATTACTAAATCGAGATCAACATCAAATGAGCCTTGTTAAATAATTCAACACTTCAAAATAGAATACAATCCAGTCTAACTCTAACATAGATTCAGTACAAACAGACCTTTGAATTTTTAGAAACTTACTAGGCAAGTTAAAACCTTTCGAAACAACAAATAATAACCATCATATATGACTAAAATCTCTCAAAAGTATGCTACACAAAATTGATGACATTTACTCAGCCAACATTATGTGGTTCACAACAATCCTGGCCTTATAGCTAAATTAAATATTGTCAAGTAAAAAGTTCTTCAACCGTGCACTGGTTGGAAGCAGTCTTCGCCTAAGTTGATTGACTCTAATATTCATTATCATCAAAGGTTCCATACAGGACTCACCTGATCCTCAACCTTCATATGTTTAGAGAAAAGCTTTGCAGCATGGCATTCTCCGGTCAAAGGCCGCAAACCTCTATAAGAGAAAAAAGTAGATCAAATATAGGGATGGAAAATAGTGTGCAGCGCAATTTTTAGAAGATAATCACACCAAAGCAGAACTTACTATATGCAGAAATACTGGGATACTAAAAGTTTAAGATACTATCTCATTTGGCATGTATTGAACAAAATACACCACACCTGAGGAGTTCCAACGATCTTAAGGCAGATAAGCTAATCACGAGAAGTGCTGGATTTCCTGGTTCAATATTTCCTTCTAGGACCTGCTTTTCAGAAAGCACTTCTTTCCATGACAATCCAAAAGCAGCCTTCATATGTTCACCAAGAGTGCTGGCCTCTTGAGAAAGGCTTTGAGATAGATCAACAAAGCATGTATCTGCATCATACAAAGAAACCCACCTAACCATAGTTGTTAAATCGTGTATCGGAAGGCGTATCGTTTTTAAAAATAATGTATCGTATCGTGTATCATGTATCATGTATTATGTATCGTAAGTTACGTGCAATTTTAATTTTTAAATAATTATTAATAAAATCTATGTATATACCTTTATAAAAAAGTCATACACTCATAATAACATAGTATTTCATTAATATTCCACCAATTATTCAAGTTTCCAACATAGTTCAATAATATCAAAATGCAAAGGTCTCTAATTCAAACTTCTAACATCAACTAAATGAACAACTTTAATATTAATTTCTTTGAATTCAATTAAACAACATTAACATTAAACTTTATTTATTTATTTTTAACTATAACCACTGAAACGACATTGTTTTACTAGGTAGGGATTTAAAAATAAGTCTTAGGGTAAAACAATGTCATTTCAATCCCAAAAAAAAAAAAATAAAAATAAAAAAACAGAATCATCACGTATCGGGCGTATCGTACGATACGATTCAAAGACACGATACGTATTGTTTTTCAAGTGTATCGTGATGTATTGTACGATACGTATCGCGTATCATACGATACTAACAACTATGCACCTAACAATTTCCTTTCCAGATGATTGCACATGTATGTTATAGTACATATAAAATAACCATAAAAGAAAATAATTCAAATGAAAAATCATTGCTAGAATTTGAGATCCTTTCCTTGAGACAGTTCATACGCAATTCAAAGTTTTCTGTAGTCAATTTCTATGAAATAGAGCGACAAGTATACCCCAAATTCAGGCTCTGTGGAACCTATGAAAATTAATATTTGGGACGGATTGATATTCCGTAAGAATCCTGACTCTCGCAGGACAATCTTAAACACCAAGTTATGTTACAACCTAAACCATACCGATGCATAATTTTCCCTTTAGTGACATGTTTTCTGTTCATAATCCTTTAAATTAATAAATTGCAAGGTAATTTTTCATATTCATATATTACAAACATCCCATGTCATCCACATTGTCCTTCATATCAAGACAGGAAATAAAAGATCAATGCATTTAACATTGCTTGGTATGTGCATCTAAGATTAGTTCACAAACTCACATTAGAATTGTGAGATGCAGTGTAATGAAGGATAAATTTACAGACCATTGACCGATACAGCGAATTGTTAATTTTATGGTGAGTTTTAATTAGGGAAAGCTTCTAACATTTAGATTCAACAATGTAGAAGCAAGAGTGTAGGTGTGAATAAGCAATGGAATCAACTTCATTTTAAAAGTAAAAGGTTGCAAGATAGCTGTTTAAAACAGGGCAATCATTTTGGGGGTTTTAAGTGTTCACTGGCCATAAAGGTAGGTGAAAGAGTTAAGGTCCACAAAGAGCTTTATATATGTTGGGAAATTTGGCAAAAACTAGGAGCTTCTCTGGCGGTATGTTTATGCTTCACCCTCACAAGGTTCAAACTACATCTCATGCTCAATCCCATTGAGTTCAAGTTATGAAAAAAAATCGATGGTGATATAGGTGTGTCAGTTCCAAAAGAACCAAGACTCGAAAAAGGAAACATGAGAATTTTGTATAGCTAGAATTTTGTAGACCAAATAAACACCACATAAGAGGCAACAAAAAATTTGGCTAGAATAGGCTAACACAACCACAGCCCATATCTGAAATTAGCAATATGCTCCTGACTCCTAGAACAAAAGAAATAGCAAAAAAAAAAACCATGTCTAAAAAATCTTGAAACTACCAGTATATCTTGACTCCTAGAGCAAAACAAACATCCATAAAGCCATGTTTGATAAATCTTGAAATTAACAGCATACTCCTGACTGCTAAAGCAAAATAAACACCTGAAAAAACCCATTCCACCTGTACCCAAAATAAACATATAGCAAGTCTTATTACATCCGGCACTTGAGTACATGAGCTCTCAAGCACATAGATATTCCCCCTCATTCAAACTAGAAATCATACATGCAAAGAAACATATCACAGCTCTAAAAAGCAATTTAAAAAAGACAACATATGAACAAGAGAAAATGGTCAGATTTATCAAACAATAGAATCTAGCCAAATTAATTCACACAGGCACAGATGCAATAAGGCAAGTACAGATGCACCGAGAGTATAGTTATCAAAATCGTTTTTTGTCAAGAATCGCACCTGAATTGTAAGAATCGTAAGATTTGGTTCGAACCATACGATTCGCAAGATTCGTTTTATTATTTTTTTCAACCCTATTTCTAGTAAAACGACGTTGTTTTGCTACAAGAGAACCACCGCCAAATATAAAACTTGCGTCTCTCTCTAGATCTCTTATTCAAGTGTCGGTGAACATCACACAAAGACGTCTCCTTCACTCCAGGTATGTTTCTTCTTCTTCTTCAAAAACAATTACCAAACCTTAACATACGCTACTTCTACTTCTACTTCTTTAATAAATGTTCTATCTTTTGTTTTTCATCAAAATTTTATTTTTTAATCAAATGTGAGGAGTGATTTTCTAAGTTTACATGTTCGAATCAATATGAATTTTTCCTATTTTAGTTTAATTCATTGGTATGAAGACAATGACTATTTATTGGTTAAAAATTATGCATTCTTTCATCGTGACTATTTTGAGAAAATAATTTATTATGTATTAAAAAATAAGTAACAGAGGTATAAATTCAAGTGGAGTATTATAAAGATTTATAAAAACTAACATCTGTCCATTTGGATAACGTGACTATGTCAATACCAACAATTGATTATTTTTAAAATACAATAATGTTCAATAGTTAATATCTCACCTATTTTAAATATGTACATGTTATTTTTTATCATTGTTCGATTTTTGTGCCGAATATTACGATTCTCAATTTTCAAATCTAGGATTTTGATTTCCGATACGAATATCGATTTGATAACTATGACCGAGAGAGAGAAAGAGGAAGACTTTATTACTGTTTTATTTATTATGTTTTGTTGACACTCCCACGTGTGTCTATTACAAAAAAATTGTTCATATACGAGATTTTGATAAATATCATGCTACTCTGCGGATGTATAGAAATTGTTCATGGCCCAATAAATTGATGTTAATGGCTATACAATTTTAGGTATCAAAGAAGTTCACTGATTTTGTATGCTTTTTATAGGTTTAATATTTATGTAATCTTTCAATGGGAGTTTAATTTGGGTGTGTACTTGAATACCTTGCGTGTATATGAATTCTGCCCCATTACCGCTTTTAGTCCAATTAGTGAAAACTCCAATATAGAGAGAAATTGTTACAACATAAACAAACATTTCATACGAATAAAAAATTAAATTATAATACACTTCTCACCCAACTTATGAATTCAAAGTAACACCGCAACACGGAAAAGGTAGTGAGTCATATTTTAGAAAAACAAAAATTCATTAGGTTCCAGGCTGGTAATGGTGGACTTGGATCAAGACTAGAAGGCTAGTCAATCACAATTGAAGCATGAAGGGACTCCAAGAATGTGGGTTCCACGGCTAGTTAGCCATGGGATTTGCACAAAGGTTTTGAAATGAACTTTGGCTGTTACAAAGGGCTTGAGACTGGGGCTTATCTAGGTTAAGCACGGATAAGATGACAGTGGCAGTGGGAGCCCAACCAAGTTACAATGAAAATAAAGGAATTGCACTTAATAGGATAATGTTTCACAACTACAGTGATCCGAGACCATTTCAAATGGACTCTTTCAACTGGGAACCTGGACCTAGCAGTGTGAGTTTCCAAGGTGGTGATGGGAAAGGTATGGTGACAGTTTTGACGAAAGGAGAATTGTGAAAGAAATGTGTTTGTTTCAAGCATGGCCGCACGGCTATAGCCATCCAACCAAAATTATGTAGTCCAATCAAATTTCTAATACTCCGCCATCCACCTTGGAAGATAAATGAACCGTTATTGAGAGATGTCTTGTCAAAAGAAAACCAAACAAGAAAAAAAAATCTACTAACCCCATAAGGCCTTGGGCAAAGCTCTCCCTTAACTCTCTATTTTGTATTCCTAAAGTAATCAATTTAAATTTGTGTGTCTACTACATCATCCATCGCGTGAACATGAATAAGCCAGTACATCATCAGTTGTTCTCGAGGACAATTTCAAACAGTATTTTCCTAAAGCAATACACTACCGTGCATGTAAATGATGACCACCCAATGACCTCCATGTAAGAGTTCTGTTATTTGCATTGCATATTTACAATATAACTATAACCTGTAACAAAGTCATAATGAACCATCCCACCTCATCCACACTTCTACTTCTGCAGTAGTATAAATAAATAAATATGCATATATATATAGACACACACACACACAGAAGTGTGTGTGTGGGGAGAGAGAGAGAAAGAGAGAAGCACCTTTGATAGATTCGAGTTCGAGAGAAGAAAGCTGGACGCCGTTGGCCGATTGATACTGACTAAGAAAGAAATTCATCTGCTGCAACGCCGTTGGTGATTCTATTACTACATTTTTGCTCTCATTGCGTTTGATTTTGGTGTTTTTGATCTCAAGTTTGCTGGTTTTGTGTTTGGTGTTCTTGGACTTCTTGGTCTTTGCTCTGTTAGGTCCCAGAGGTAATCGCTTGCTTTTCTTGTTAGGGTTTCGACTGCGAAGAGGATGAGGAGTTCTGGTTTTCGAACGCTTGTCTGGCTTCCGGCTGCCCATTGTTCTGCAAGTTTCTGAACCAGAAGAGAAGAAGACGGCTTCTGAGTTTCTCTGTGAAAGGGATTTTATACCCAAACAGATGTCCAAAACGGAACCGGATCCTGTCAACGTTATGGAGATTTTCACCGGTCTATCAACTATTGCGTAAAAAGGTAATTTTGAAGCAAGACTTTTTAAAAATAACAATAATTAAAAAATTTGAAAATACAATATTTTGATATAAAATCAGTATCTATAATAAGAGTACCTTAAAAGCATTTTAGCATGAAAATTTTTTTAATTTATTATAACATATACAAATTATTATTATATATTTTTGTATTTAAAAAACAAAAGAAAAATTACACTCAGATTCTTTGAAATTTGTCACTTAATTATTCAAATCCTTGATTTTTAAAATATTATACACAGATCCGCTGAAATTTGTACACACGTAACACTTAGACCTCTATCATCAGTGTCTATAAGTATATCTAGGGATGGCAGTGGATCGAAAAAAAAACAGGTATTCGTTCAAACCCGATCCGTTTGGACCGGTGATAGACTATACATATTAAACGGTGAACGTATGTGATAATATCCGTATAAATCCCGTGCAATGATGGACTTACTCTTATCCTCGCGCCCGCCCCGTTCCCGTTAAATAAATAAATAGATATATATATATATATATAATTTACTCTATTGTTCCGCACTCAGCCTTCGGTCAGCCGTCTACCTCTTCATCTATCTCTCTCGCAGCGATCAGCCTTCACCTTCAGCCGATCGACCAACTGCTCGCAGATCAGCCTTGCTCCTTTCCGACTGCTCTCAGACCCACAACGCCAAGCACTTCCCCTAAGCGATCAGCCTGAGCGATCGATCTACTGCTTTCAGACCCACAACGTTCAGCGACCAATTGCTTCTTAAAAGACCAGTACCTAGTGTTGGTCCTATTCTGCGTGTTTAAAAATTCATAATTTTTTTTTAAACGACCAATTATTTTTTTTCTTAAAAATTATAATTATTATACAATTATACTATCTACTGAAATTTAATTTGGTCGTTTAAACGACCAAATTAAACTACCAAATTACCTCAGTTAAAGTTAGAATATATTGTGTTCATTACAGTTTGACCCCTTATTTGATTTTTTAGTTTTATTCTAATAGGTAGTATAATTGTATACTAATTATGATTTTTTAAGAAAAATTAAATTTTTATTTTTGATTTTATTTTAATAAATGATATAATAAAACATGAATTTTGATTATAAAATTCATATTATATTATGAATTACTTAGATCCTTTATTTAATTTTTTTTATTTTATTACAATATATAGTATAATTGTATATTAATTAAGATTTTTTTAAGAAAATTTAATTTTTTATTTTTGATTTTATTTCAACAATAGAACATGATTTTTTGTTTTAAAATTTAAAATATTTGATATTTTATCTTTAATTGAAGTATTTTTAGTATAAGTGTAATATTTTAAACTAAAGGGTTTTAAGTATTATATGTCTACAAACTTCAGGGGAACTAGATGTAATTTACTGATGGATATATTAACGGACATTTGAAGGCAGGGGTCTAAGTGTTACACGTGTACAAACCTCATGAAGTCTGCATATAATATTTCAAATATCAGATGGTCAAAATTATTAAGCGACAAACCTTAAGGGGTCTAGATATAATTTTTCCAATAACAAACTAGCATCTATCATATCATATAAATCTCTTAATCTTTTCAAAACTTTTGAATGGTCATATTACGATTAATATGATTTATAAAGACAAACATTATTCTTTTCTCCAAAATTCTAATATTAATATACACCGATAACTTCATTCATACAATATCATCTCCAATGTCCAAAAAATCGAAAATATTCTCTTCAGCCACAATCAATATAATTTGGTGAAAATTTATTAAGACAAAAAAAAATCAAGAAAAGAAAATTCTATAACCCTTATTATTTGATAGCTCGAATGAAAGAATCACATAATTCCATTGAATGTTGATAGCTATAAAGAGAATATAAATAATTTAACTATGATAAATGAGATAATGTCTAATTTAGCTATATAATTAAATTTTTTTGTATGTATTTGTTAAATATTTTAATGAAAACTTTCAAGTACAATGCACGTAGTGCATGACTAATTTATAAAAATAAAAAGTAGAAGAAATTTTGACTCCAAGGTTATAAATTCCAATTAGACCCAGTAAACTTAAGGGAACATGACCAATAAATCTTCTTTTTCTTCGTAAAAAATATTATCCAAGTCCAATCATTTTATAAGTCTTATGATCTGTTTGGTAGGGCTGATAAAAAATAGGAAGAATAGAAAATAAGAGGGATATATTTTCTATCCTTCAAAGATAGAAAGTAGGAAAGATACACTTTCATTCCTTTATGTTTGGTTGGATGGATGAAAAATAAAAATGACTATTTTTTTTTGTGCTAACTAAGATTAGAGATGAGAATCGAGTTATGTCGTGTTAGATTCGTGTTGAGTAATTACGGATTTATGTAGGATATTAGTCAAACCTAACTTAATTCATTTAAATAATTGTGTTGTGTCGAGTTGCGAATTGTCCTGTTTATTTTCGTATCGAGTTCGAGTCGTGTCATCGTGTTGAGTCGAAAATTTTTACCATTAGTTAAGATGGAAAAAATATTTTTTTTAATTCAAAATTTTATTTTTAAAATTTAAATTTTTAAAATTTTATTTTTAAATATATTATATATATATATATATATATATATATATATATATATATATATATATATATATATATATATATATATATATATATATATATATTACCATTGTATTTTTATATGGAATTAATATATACATAATAGATGGATATATAAAAAAATATATATACAAATAAGTTACATCTCAACACAAATAATTAACTTTCCATCTATTTTCCTTCCGATTTTGGAGGGATTGATTTTGGTGAGTTAGAAGGAAAGTTAATTCATCCACTTTTTCATCCTTCCTACTTTCCGTCATTACCAAACACGATGTTTTATTTATCTCTCAAACTTTTCATCCTTCCCACTTTTTCATCGTACCAAACGGAGCACTAGTCTTGATAAGTTGTTCTCACTATGTCCTAATTGTATTATTTTCTAATTTTTCCCGTAACATTTAATTATCACAGTGCATTTCATTTCATTTTGTGTTTCATCTCTCTAGCCATCCTGGAACATGAATTTTGCACAACGTTAATGATGACGAGTTGTGGGCAGTACTAATCAAAAAATGTTTTTCTTGAGAAGTTTTTGTTTTGAATCAGTTAACATTGGCAGCCTCAAACCAAGTTTTCCCGGCTAAAATTATGGTGTGTCTTGTAATAACCACGGAACTCACGCCAAAAGGATAGCCAAAGAGTTATTTATGCTCCGTTTTGTAGAGAGGATAAAAAGTAAGAAGGATGAAAAGTAAGAAAAATATACTTTCTATCATTTAAGGATAAAAACTAGAAAAGATACACTTTCCTTCCTTTGTGTTTGGTTGGATGGATGAAAAATAAAAATGACTATTTTTTTTTGTTATACTGCCTAAAATTAAGGATGACAATCGCGTCGTGTCGTGTTAGATTCGTATTAAGTCATTACGGGTTTGTGTCAAATATTAGTCAAACTTAACTTAATTCATTTAACTAATTGTATCATATCGAGTTGCGAGTTGACTTGTTTATTTTCGTATTGAGTTCGAATCATGTTATCGTGTTTAGTTGAAAATTTTTCCCCTTAGTTAAGATGGAAAAAATATATTTTTTTTAATTTTTTATTTTTTAAAATTTCTTAATATATATATATATATATATATATACATATTTTACCATTATATTTTTATATGAAATTAATGTATATATAAAAAGATATATAGACAAATAAGATACATCTCAACACAAATAATTAACTTTCCATCCACTTTCCTTTCGATTTTAGAAGGATTAATTTTGGTGAGTTGAAAAGAAAGTTAAATTATCCACTTTTTCATCATTCTTACTTTCTTTCCTTACAAAATATGATGTTTTATTTATCCTTCCAACTTTTCATCCTCCCACTTTTTCATCGTACCAAACGGAACATTAATAATATATACAATGCTCACCAAAGTGTATCCTTCATAGTTTACATCCTTGAAGGATAATCGGTAATCGGTACTCCTATATGCATACTCAAGATCTCTCATTTAAAATTTTAATGTGAGATTCGGTACACACCAATACTGTTGTCACAATCTCCCATCTTTTATTTCTTTACGTACCCACAATACCTATATATAAATCACAAAGACAAAGATCGGATCATGGTCAATCGTGATTGATGATGCACAAAATATGTTTATGCACTATTATCAAATATTTAATGCAATAATTAAGGAGGAAACTAAGCACAAGTAACCACAAATTAAATGGTTTGGTCAATATGACCTACTCCAATATGAAGGACTACGGAGGCCTGAGCGTTTTATTCAGGGCCGGGCCAATGAAAACTGGGGCCCTAAACCAAAGTGTTAAATAGGGTCTATCAAAATTTATCAAAAAAAATATATTGCATGATTAAAAATTTATTTTAAATTTATTGTTTCATTTTTTGTGATGCAAAATTAGTAATCAAATTTTTATATTTGAGTTTTGCTAGTATATTTTTTCAATGAATAATATGACTAATTCATTCAATTTTTTTTGTGATATAGTTGATCGTAAGTAGAATTTTATGAGTTTTAATTTTGAAAAAATTTGACATATTTCAATCTAAAATTTTTTGTGAATAAAACATATTTTAAAATAATACATAATTATATTAAGAGAACTATCTAATATCTTATAAAAGTCAATAAGAATCAAACACAATATCACATGATAAATAAAAATTGTATAAGATTTGAATTGACGATTTGTTCGCCTCCCAAATCATCTTCTATTTCAAACTTTCACAATAAAAAAGAATAATTGCATTAAATTAATCCTATCAATAAAAATATTAA